CCACAACTAAGTGGACTGAAACTTCTTTGCAACTTGTTTTCAGTCCATTCCTGTCATTCTCATCTTTCTTCCCTTGATTAATCCATTTAATTCAAACCACTATACGCAATTGGCTTGATCAAGCGAGTAAAAGACCAGAGAATGAGTTTCGATCGGCAGATGCCCTTGCAGCAGCAAAAATTTATTCAGGATTGTAGACAAACAAGCCAGGAAAGTTCAGATTTCCGGCGAAAATACCTACGAAAAGATGAGTAAAGTAGCTAACCACTTTTATAAGTCTGATGGAGCGTATCGCAACGAGAACACCGGAAATGTATGGTTCGGCCAGATTTCGAATGCGATGCATGCCGATAGATGCGCACCTCCTCCGGATTCAGAGGCACCGTCAGTGAAGTCTGCTTGAATCGGCGCGAAAAAGACACGTAATATGGAGCACTTGGGGGAGTTCTGAAATGGAAGTGTGGAAATAAGGCAAAAAACTTCAGCTGCACATCGAATTTTACTCCACGTAAGTGCCAAACAAATAATAAATCGCCGTCAAAATCCAGTTTTCGAATTTTTGAGGCGCACAGTCAGTTCGGCACACTGCTGCCAAAAAAAAGCATTTACGAAATTTTCGGTTCTATTAGCACTGTTTCCAAACCTTAATCCAAGCACTAAACAAACATATCCCCGTGTGCCGAAATTCCAACTCCTCTTTCTTGCAGTGTTTTGACACTCTTTTCACACAAAAGGGCCCAACGTTATCGATTCAAACAAATCGATAAACTGTGCAACACAGCCGGCACACATGGCAAATCAGTTAAGGGTTTTAATGTTGAAAATCGAGAAGATTGGCTTAGGAATTGAAAATTCAAAGTAGAGAGGAACACTACAACTGAGAATTGGTGTCATTTGCGGGAGGTGAAGATATGCGTGCATGCGTAATGTAATGTAATATGCGTTTTTGCTGGCTGTAGCAGCGCTACAGTGCTGCTATACTCAGCAAAAACGCAGTTGAAATACCCGACGCTGCTACAGCCAGCAAAAACGCATACTGAGGGCAAAGTAATTAGTGAGTGAGAAGGTAGGTAATATGAAACTATTTAGAATTTAGTGGAAATGTTAGAAAATAGTGAGTGGAGGGCAGTCCAATACATCTCCTCGAAGCACCCATTTGCTCACTCACTGTATCATTTAACACTAGTAAGTTTCTTACTGAAGCCAGAAACAAGGCATCAGGTGCGGATGCATTCGATCAAAGTAAACGCCGTGCAGCATCTCTTGGAAAAATTTGCTCTCTGCCCAAACAAATCAGCATATTTCCGCTCGTCCCATCATTTCACTTTCCAGCTAAACTAGGCCTGCTTTCTTTTCATAGTACCCTAAAAGAAAACTTGCAAACTTACAGAAACGGTGTATTGAGGTAAGGGATGAGAGACTCCTCCATGGTGCTCGAGAGGTGCTTGTCCTGTCCATTTTTCACGAACGAATGATTGTTATTGTCATCCTCGCTGCCACACGCCACACTGCTACATCTCGAATTGTTGCCATTTTCCATGTACTGGGCGTCCTGCAATCCCAACACACATGAAGTTAGCTGCGTAGTTTATCCTCATTTTTTTAAACAACCAAGAAAGCATACACCGAAGTCGGAATCCCGGCGGATCTGTTTGCTCTCCTTTCACACAATATTACATTTAACGCAGCAGAGAAAATCGCTTCAAATTTTAGGGAATTTCTGAGCGAATGTAAGCTATGTGTTACTCGCGCGTTTACTAGACATTTTTCGTTTCTAAGAAATCATGGAACAGCGCAACAATTTATTTGCGGAACAGATCGCTCCAGCCAGCTCAGCAGAACAATAAGCAGCATGTAGTGATAAAAGCTTCCTCCAGCCAGGAATTATTGAAATTCAGGAAAATATGAAAAAGCCCCACAAACATATTCAAATAATTATCTGCATAAAATAGCCCCAGTACAAAAAAACTAAAAGTCAATCTGTGATGAGAATCATTCTAAAACAGGAAGCAATCAGCTCAGATGTGTCGCCAATCTAAGATTGCCCAAAACAGTTTCCAGTGCAGCACTTGCTGAACTAAAATATGTGCTCGGTTCCTACTTGTGACTGGGCATAATAATAAGCGAATTACCAGTTCATCGAGTATGCGAGACTTGGCTCGCACTGTTGTAGTGGACACCACACTGCCAGTAATGTTCTTGATCAAATCGATGGCTCGCCGTGAGGTGATTTTCTGATTTTTGTATTCTCGAAGCACATCACGAACCTGCGGATTGTGCCACTCCACATTACCCGGTGGCCCTGAAAACAGCTTGCCATGTCACAGTGGCGAAAGTGTTGGCAGACAGATTGCAATGGTACCTGTGCTCTCAGGTGCTTCAAGCATGCCGCTATGAATCGCTCCACAAACACTGCTCCAATGAATAAAGCAGCTGCCCCTGCCGTATAAAATCAAATTCTTTTAGCCTCATGCAAAGGCAGAAAGCCGTTTCATAAAGAAACCACGCGTGTCGGGAAAGGCAGTCTGCGCAACTATGCAAATTTCCTCACTTAGAACGGCAGGGTGATTTTAGTACGTGACAGCTTCGCAACGGCAAGGACGATATGTTGGAGGCGCAAACTTATCAATGTGCTCAGAATGTGCTGCATCTCTGCGGCTTCAAACCATTTCAGAACAGAAGGCATCCGCTTTTGCTTACTTTTTTGCTCTGCAATGATTTAAAAGAGGCTAAACTGACTCTAAAATCGGGAACTGTTGCAAGACTGATGAAAAATTATTACAGATCTTCTAATGTATAGCTTTATATGTATGGAGTGATTGCAGATCAGGGCTGTGCGCCAGGAGGCAGGGAAGAGATTATTACAGCACAGGGCGGATTAACAATCACGATATTATGATCCTGTACTAGAAAAAAGAGCAAAGATTCAACGCAGACTGTCTGAGAAGTCATAGTCTGACATTTCATTGGTGCATGTGGTATCAAATCGAATATATTAAAAGAAGTCCTTGTTTCATCCCTCTACCGGAAACAGAAAAACTTTGTAAATTGGCTTTGATAAAGCTTGGTTGATCCTTGTACGATGTGAGATGATTACCGCGAAAATTGCTAAACGTGTAACGTAGGTGAGAACGTTTACACGTAGTAGGTAAACCCCGAGCGAAAAATGGAACGAGTCAGCGGGAAAGCCAATAACGACGAAGGGTGCAAGTGCAGGGAAGAAACAGCAGATGCGGGAAACCCGTCAAAATACTGTACACACACACACACGCACGCACGCACACACACACATGCACACACACACATACATACATACCCATACATATGTGCACATTTACATGTATGTCGTATACACACATATATGTGTTCATGAAATCAATATGTACACACATATAAGAGAAGCTTGTAATACATACGATATTTGCGAAATACAGGTGGCGTCCAGGCGGCTCGCGCGGCTTCCAAACTATCCGCAGCAGCAACACCACCACCACCAACAGTAGCAGCAGAACATCGGACACTTTTGCCGCCGTAATCATCGATGGAATCGGACTGTCGCCTATCCACTGCACGATCATTATTCAAAGCTAACACATTTTTCTCATGACAGGAACCATTTTCACCGGATGCGCTGGCCTGCGCCATCGTTGCATATCTTACGCGCTGATGATGACTGGCGGAGTGATAGCCCGTATGGATTGAATCATCACCTGAACATACACAACCTTTTCAGTGGCAAGTGCGCCCACATGGAAAATGCTTTAGCAAAAAAAGCACATTTTCAAGCGAATGCAAAAGGGATACATTATTACCACAGTCGTCGTCGTAAATTACATTATTACCACAGTCGTCGTACTGACGAGGTCCAACTGTCGCAATGGTAAGAAATGTATACGACTTAATGGACCGAAACATTTCTTACCAACATTAATAATTCTTTACAACTCTTTCATTTTTTGTTCATATTTTCCCAAAACCTTAAATAAATTGGCAAAACTGAGAGAATTATTTTCCCAGACTAAATGCGGAAGCGCGGCTGGTGAACAGGCCGGCGCTTCTAATACTTTTTATGCAAACGAGCAGCTACTCCCTGGCTGCCAGTTAGAGCAACTAGTACGAGTGACGCATCCAAACAGTTAAAAAATAAATGGCAACGCGCACCCGATCATGCGTTTTGTGCAATTCAGTCCATCGAACGATTGCCTGTTAATGATTTTCACTTCCTTGT